AATATAGTTCAGTCTAGGGGGGGGGGGGATAGGTTGGAAAAATTGAGTATGAAACTGCAAAGTTGACCACAGTGTTGACAACATTACCACATGGCTTCTGTCATCATCCTTTAACACTCTCCATCAACGACGTTTCTCAGACTCTTGGGTTGCTATGGTTTCTCTTTCAAAATAATGACCTGCTATCAGCACTGAGTGGCTGAGTATCTGTGCACAAATGTTACCTTTCTTTCCATTCCAGCCCAACCTAATGGCAGTGACAGGGAACTGAGGTTACTTTAAGACACTTAAAATAAATGACGTCATGCTTTACTTCCCCCTGGTGTTAAGCGACACATCAGGGAGACTCAAGGTTTGAGCCTTTGATACACTCAGTAGATGGATGTTAATGTTGTTCCACATTATATATGTGCACACATTCTGCTCCGGCGACAAACAAGCTCGATGATTTAGAAGATAAAGCTCTGTCCCTCTGTGTTTTATACCACTAAAGGTGAATTTAGAGTTAAAGAGTGACTTAAGATTCAACTGAACACTCCCTATAAACTGAACTTGTACAGGCATGAATTGAGGTGTTACGTATGGGCTTGTAAAAGACAAAAGTCAAAAGCCTATTTCTTGACGCAACTCCCCCGCGGCTAACTCGCTGATTCCAAATGTTGTTGCTGTGATTTACCAGTAACTAAGGTGACGGCTGATCCTGTTCTGTATCCCGGTGAGACAGGGTGAGTCAGTTGGGCTTTCACCTTACCTCCCTTACAGCAATGTGCTTCTCACCCCTTCTGAGCATGTTGGCTTTTTACGTGCCACACTTCTACTCCAAATACTCCACATAAAGCACGTTATCTAGAAACGGGGATGCAAATTCTCATGGGAAATGGATTTATAAATAGGGAGGAGTGAGCTCCCCCTCCGTGTGTGTGTGCTTTATGTGTGTATCATCACCTCCAGGTGTGTGAGCCCCACCTATATAGTCTGAGGGAGGGACAGGAAAGAGAGACAGGAGGGGTCTAATAGGAAGGTACAAGTCGGGGTGCAGGTTTCTCTGCTCTTGCCCAACCCTGTTGATGCAAGGTGACAACAATCCTCTCTCCCAGTGGCTTCAGACCTCCATCGCGTCCCACTCTTCCTCATCTTATCCTCTTACCCTGGCCACGCAGAGATATGGCATCAGGATAGGAAGTGCCTGGCTTCATACTAAACTGCCCGCCGAAGCTCCAAATATACACTTTATTTTTTTTGCAACTTCAAACTTCAAGACTTTTGGAGTGGGATTTAAAGGTGTAATCAGTTTAGACTCTCATCCTGCAGGATAAAAAGTAAGTTCCTCTGTTTTTACAAAGGCTTGGTCCAGCTCTGGAGATGTCCTCTTATTGTGAGATGTAGCTTTAATGGTCTCAGTCGTGGTCACTGAACCTGAAGCTGTTCTTTACAATACTCTTGTCTCTCAGTCTATGTCATAGGTTTTGTCTAATAACAGCTATTAAAAGTTGCTAATAATCATCCTAAAAGTATCCAGAGCCTTATATTATCATTATCATTATTATCATTATTCCACCACTGTTTGATCTCCTGATCGACTGTATAAATGAAGGCCAGTGTCGGGGCAAAGCTGGGTACGAATATTTGTCAGGCGATAAGCCTACTAAAGGTCATATTTGAATCTCTGTCAGCGAAACAAAGGCTCTGTTATGGACTGAAGGAAGTGGCAATCGGCAATCAGGAGTGAATATCTCTCACAGTCCGTACTGCAGTAAACCACAGACTCATGTGTGTATCACTTGTCTGTCTATTGTGAGCTGATGCAGCGGAATAGTTACCTTTCAACCCTGTTTCGCTATCCCAACCTCACCTTCATGTTGCAGTTGTTTTTCCATCCATTCTCAGCCTTGGCTAACACACTCCTCTGCCTTGTTCTGGCATGTTTATGCACTCCCTCCTCCTGCTCTCTTCACTCTCGCTGTCAAACCGCTCTCTCTTTTTCCTCTTCCACGCTGTGACCTCCTGTCTTCCATTTCATCCTGCTTGTTCCCAACTGCCAGTCAACACGCTGTTAATGTGTTTAGGGAAACTTGTACTTCTATTTGGTGGTGTTGCTGTCAAACATACACGTGAAGTATTTTGTGCTGACGTGTGCTTTTTTGTTTCAGGAGAACAGAGCTTCTATATTAAAGGGCACTTAAAAGGGGGGACTGATTCCCCATGCGGATGACTAAAATGAATATGGCCTTTTCACCCGAGAAGCACAAATCCCTTTTCCCTCTCCTTCTCCTCTTCTACGTCCCTCTCAGCTGTCTGTGCCAGACAACCAACAACAGCTCAGTCAATATCACAACCAACGCTCCAACCACTTCCTCTCCTTCCTCAAATGTTACTTCCTTGAAAGGTGTGCCAGGCTGCGGCCAAGGACTGAACCCCATCTATAGGTACCTGTGTGACCGTCGGGCAGCTTGGGGTATTGTACTGGAGACGCTGGCCTCTTCAGGGTTCCTGTTCAGTATGGTTCTCTTCTTGGGCCTACTGTTCTGGTCCCTGTGGATCTGTGTTACATCAAGGCAGAATCGCATCGGCATCGGAGGCACAGTGGCCAACATGTCCATGTTCCTGTTGGCCACAGCTGGGATCTTCGCCATCACCTTCTCATTCATCATCCAACTCACCCCTCAGACCTGCCCCACCAGGATCTTCCTCTTCGCTGTGCTCTTCTCCCTGGCTTTCTCCTGCCTGCTGGCTCGCTGCCTTGCTCTGCTGGGCTTCGCAGCGACCCGAGGCTGGGGCGAGCCTGCTGTGGCCCTGGGGCTCTTCATCGTGCAGGTTATCATCTCTACCCAGTTTCTGATCCTCGTGCTGGTCCGGGAAAAGAAACCTTGCGAGTATAGCCAGGAGGAATTTGTCATGCTGCAGATCTACGTGATGTGCCTCCTGGCTATCAGCTTGATCCTGTCCCTGCACTTCCTGTGCCGCTCCTGCTTCACATACAGCTACAGCTACACAGGGGCCACCCACCAGCAGGGGAGGTCACAGGCCATACTGCTCTGCCTCACGCTGCTGCTTTCCGCCTGCATCTGGGTGGTGTGGATCGCCATGCTCACCAGGGGAAACCCTGAGTTGGGCCGTCGGCCGCAATGGGACGACCCGGTGCTTAGCATCGCCTTGGTGGCAAATGGCTGGGTGTTACTGATGGGGCATGGGTTGTCACAGGTCGCCATCCTCTGCAGGGGGGAGGCCAGGTCCAAGGATATCCCTCTGAGCTTCGCAGGCTGGACCAGCCCCAGTGCTGATATCCCAGGACTGAACAGCCCAAAGGAAGGGAAAGAAAACGGAAGCTATGAGAGTGATGGTGAAAACAGGAGAGGTGAGAGGCTCTCCTCAGTGGAAGGTTGTTAAGTATGCTTAGGGGCAAAGACAGATAAGGACAAGGGCTGCAACTAATACTTCTTTTCAATAATAATTAAGCTGATTATTTCCTTGATAATCAACTGGTATGTAAAATTAGGTGACATTACTTTTTAAGTCAAACATTGCATTATCCATCATAAAGGAGAAGAAAACCAGAACCAGTAAATATTTACATTTGAGCAATGGATTAATCAATGGTTGCCGAATCATTTTCTATTGATTATCTAATTGATTAATCGACCAATGGTAACACCTAATGAAAATAAACAGCTCTGTTAAGTTAATGCTAGTAGGCTGCATTATTAAATGGGTCTGGGAATTATCACTTTGAAATGTGTACTCAAATAAAATCGATAAAATCATCTCCCCACAAACAATATGGAAAACAACACATGCATGAGTATAACTCATCTCATCTTTTAGCAGTTTTTCCACTGAGACAGACTAAACAACGGCCACTGTGGCCAAATAACCATTACAGAATAATAGCAGATGACAAAACAGTTCACAGTAGTTGAGTATAACAGTAGTACAACTAGAGAAAAGCCATAAAGTTAGCGAACTGACTCTAATGTCAGTTACACAGCCATATCTTTGTTAGCATTAGCTAACATTAGCGACCATAAGCTAGTGGTCCAATAGGTCCTGGACCAAGTAGGGCTGTAGCAGCAAATCCTCTGAGTGTATAAATAGTATTAAAAGTTTACTTTACTTCTTATGAATTCCAATTTTCCATTTGTAAATGGAAACGTATGTGATTTCTACTTAAGAAAGTTTCACAGTCGTGTTTTTTGCCTCCTGTACAAATAACACTACAGCTAAATGTATAAACCCGACACTACAAATACAAATAGAAGTCTGGCCAGCAATTCCAGATTCACTGAATGACATTCATAATGCTGAAATATAACTAGCCAAAATGAACATGAAGCCGCTGTCGAACATTACAAAATGAATTCCACTATCAGTCAGCTCTGCTCTCACTGTGGCCCTTCCTGATGAGCACTATATAATGAAGCGATAATTAGCTGACTGTATCATGTGTCTCCCTTCAGGCAGGAGAACTGAGGCATCGCTGCGATCGCCCTACGAGTCTGAATTCTCCATGACAGTGAGTAATAAACCATTAGGATTAACAATCTGATTCCACATACTCTGCAATTAAGCAGCGTGACCTTTCGCTACTGGAGGCAATTATGGCCAAGTCACTGTAAGGTTAATGAAAGCACAGTTTATCATGGCTGTTAATTGCACTGACATGATGAATGTGCGATTATATGTTTCTGTTTGTGTTGCAGGAAATCGACCCTGACAAAGACTTCACCATCCCTCGCCCTCAGACCACCAACTACAGGGAACCTTATGATGAATATTACGGACATGACTAAAATCACACTCACATTCATGTCTGGTTCACACAAACTCACACACACACAGGCACATAAACTGATACATATCAAAACCAAAGTTGAACTCATGCACTAATCTGTACTTAAAGCACTTGGCACAAAAATGTATTTTTCTACGTTTCATTTTCGTGTATTCGTTCACTGTTGTAAGAAATGTTACTTCAGATCTGCCACGAGGATGTAAAATCCTCAAAAAGAAGAAAGAAAGAAAAAAAGACTCAGTAGTATGACTCATCTGCTTGAGTTTCATCATCGAAGCTGGATGGGTCCAAATAGTCCAGCTTTCTTCTGGTGGGAAATCCACTTCACAAATGCTGAGTGAAAGTGAGTCTCTCTGATGGTGTGTGTGTGTGTTCACATTGTGTGCTACTCTGAGATGGTATACAATAGCCCTGAGGTGATAGAAGAGGCGTGAAACTGTCACTCATAAGGTGCCAAACTGCTGAGCAGAGCAGAGGCATCTGTGAACGCTAGAGAGGATGCATAAAAGGAGAAGGAATGAGAGAGGAGAGGAAGGGAAGATGAGATGAGATGAGACAAGACAGGAGGAGGATAGGACAGGAGACCTGTCAGCACTGTGGGAGGCTTGTGCCATCACTGATTAACATCTTCATATTCAAAAGTTACATTACAGTTGCCGGGTTCTGTCGGTGCTGCTGCGCCCAAAACAAGGGATGTGTGTATGTTAAAAGATATGAGGTATACAAGGTACGCCTCTGTCCAGCAACACATATTCTAATGATTTTCTACATGTTTGTGACAAGTGTTATCAATAAAAGGTTTGTCTATAAAAGCCCAGATTTGTTTTTCATATTCTCAGAGCTCAACCTTTGCATCTCCCACTCACATTCTGCACAGATGGCACACCAAAGGCCAATTACTCCGTCAACTACATTCTGATCGGTGCCTCCAGGAACCTGCTTCAAACTAGGGGCTCGACCATGCAGGGATCAGGGGGTGCAGTACCAAGGTTTAGCCACCAGGGGGCAATGTCTAGGCATAGCAAGTGAAACTGGCTTGCTCAGGGTAAATGAGACAAAACCAGTCAGAGGTGACTACCACACTCAAGAAAAGATGAGTTTTAGCAATAGCAGCAGAGTAAACCCTTATAATCCCACTTGACTGTGATATTACAGTTGCACCATTTACACAACAGACCTTTTTCACAGCAGCCATTTTGACTCAAAACAGTAGGGTAAACACAGGTGTGACACTAATGAAGGTTCTCCTGGGAATACTCGTTACACTAAATGGAACAGAACCTTCATTAGTATCGTTATTAACACCTGTGTTTACCCCATTTCATATCAAAATGGCTGCTGTGAAAAAGGCTTATAGAGAATACATAACATAGTTTCAAATAGATTCAGTTTGCGATGGCCTACAGTGACTCTGCCATCCACAAAGGTCAATTCCGCACTTCAATAGACGCTATCTTCACACATCCCCCCTCTTATCAGACTGCCTTCAATCTATTCTTCCAATTAGCACGACTTCAATTACTCAGAGAGAGCATGCCATCAAATTGGCAATTGGCCTCTTGTGCATTAGAGCAATTAGCAGGGATATGAGGTTTCCCGCCACATCCAACCCATTTACGGCCATTAACTCCAGATGCAATTAAAGATTGTTCCAGATTGTTCCCCCTTGTCGGCAATGAAAAAGTCTGAGGTGGCAGAAGAGCTTATCACGCACTAGATTTGGTCAATGCAACCGAGCCGAGCGGTATTAAACTGGTGCAGTTGTTGCCTCAATCAGTCATATGACTCACACCGGCTTATTATAAAGTTTCTGCACAGTCTGAGCAGGGATTCTTGGTTAGCCTGTAATCAAAAGGTTGCAATTGCTGCTTGTTAAATCAAAAAGTGAACTCCTTTATCTCCTTTTGGTGCAGGGGTTTGTACTATTTAAGCCAATCTCTCTCTCCTGATTGGGTAATGTCTTTCCAGCCAAACACTGGAAAGAAAATGATAAGCTGTAGACAATCGTGGGAAGGAAATACCATAATGGTTAGCAGCTCCAAAATCAAGAAGCTTATCTGGGAGTGTGCTCTATCACCTCCTGATAACAAGTGCATGTACAGTGGGCGCGCTTTGGTGCACAATGTTAAACCTGAGCAATAAGCACGGGGCACAGGTAATAAGTATTCAAAGACCAGTATAAAAACCAAACAGTTTATTTATTATATACATTCAATAATAATGAAGAGAATAAACAGAAGGCAAACACAAGGATGGCAAAATAAAACATTGTGAGAAAATACATGTCACTTATTGAAAAAAAAAAAGCGCTTGGATAAATGAGCTTTTAAAGAGCATGTGACATAAAAAATGAATCCACATGCAATTCAAACTCATTTATTAAATCCCTGTACAAAACAACACTCCCACTGGGTTGAGCACAGTGCAGGGAGTCGGGGTCAGCAGCTGAGGATAACATTTGCCTTCTGTGTCATTCCAGCACACCTCTGCGGTGATTCTGCAGCCTCCCAAATAAGATTTACTCCCATTAGAAGAGACAGAAGCGAGCAAAAGCGAAACCCACAGGAGTCACCGCATCCGCACCACAGTCGCTGCTACATAATGATTACAACACCTCAACGCGAGCCGCTGCCAACTGGATGAGTGAGTTGGAAACGTTGCTAAACGAGCGTCTAATGCGGGCAGGTTTATAATAACACACTCTGTATCGGCCCTGAAGCGGGCAGCTGCTGCCAGGTCGCCAGCCTCATCTCTGCGCAGAGGCTTTTTTCCCCTCCACAGAACTTAAGGTCGAATTATCTTTGAGTGGGTCAATGTCCTCGCAGTTTTTTGAGTTTTATTTTCATTATAAAAAGGAAACCACCGGGGTCCAGACATACCAAATTAAACTTTACACATCTGATATGACTGGTGATTACCACGACGACCACAGAGGCACAGAGCAGAGATAACCCAGATTACTGTAGTGGACCCTTCCATTAAGCGACTGTGGGCCACTTGCTTCTCCCCTCCCCGCTCGGACAATCTACTGGACCTTTGCTGAGACTCCTCGTCACTCCTGTCTCCTCGCATCACATAACATCCGAGTTCTTTCCTCCTCCCTAAACACCCCACCCTCCTCCCCAATCTTCCTCCTCCAGCACTATGATTTGAATTCATGCACAAATGAAAAGATTATCTGACCGACACCCTTCCTCTCGCACAAAAGCATGCATAGCAACACTTCTGATAATACTTGTAAGGAATAATAAGACAAAAAAAAAAAAGAGGTAATGCGCGTCAAAAATACTCATTGGACCTACTGCACACAGTTTTCACAATCATACAAAATAATGTTACCCCTCCTCGTACTGTCCGCTCCACCCTGAGCGCACTGTACCCCCTGAAAAAAGTGTATAAAAAAAAAAGACAGCAGGGGACGTTGTTATCCTGTCAGCTAATGATTAATGGCCCAGCTTCTCACCTTCACCATCACCGCCACAATTCCCCCGAACTAACCACCCACACATTGTTTCATTGTTCAAAAAAAAGGTGCCTGCTGCTGGGCCACAGGGTGCTTTCGACATTGTGTGGACGTTTCCCCTCCATTTACTGTGCCTGTAATTTGGCCCTACTGGCAAATGTAATTCTAAATACCCTCTCTGTCTTTCTGCATATCCCTCATGACTCCATCTGCTCTGATTTCCCTTGTCTACAGCAAACACCTCTGCATCTACAGAGTGTTTGTGTGTTAACAAAAAAAAGAAGAAAAAGAAAAGCCAATAAATTAGTGTGTGGACTGAATTAAATTTAACGGGGTTGTTGCCGTTTGCTGCAACTTTTAAATGTGGCGTTTGCAGCCTTTTTGTGGACACTGCTTCAATGACGCTTACCAGGGAGCTGTTTTGACTCTGTACTGAAAAATACAGCTTCAACCCACGGATTAATATATATATATATATATATATATATATATATATATACATTATATATAATATATAATATATATATATATATATACCATAATTATATATTAAATAATATATATAAATATATATATATAAAAAAACAAAAAAATAAAATAATAAATCAACCACAAAAATAAGAAATACATCAGGACCAAAAATGTGCTTTCTTCAGAAAATCTTTGGAACGAAAAAGGCAAATAATAGCAATAACAACATAGTGAGAGTATATGGAGATGTGATACATACAGGACAGAGACTTGGTCTATAAATTGTCTGGCTGTCAGACTTTTAATGATGCCTTCAGACAGACTGGTAAGGAGAACTTTAAAACTATTCGGACTGAACAATCCCAGAGAGCATGATGAAGGATTTAAAACGACAAAGCGATGCCTGCGGACAGTGTATGTGGTGTCCTGTCACATTAAAAATGATGAATATAAATAGAAAACTGATCAATTCTCATTACTGCAAGACTCCATTACGTGACTGCAACCTCTCTCTTTCACTGTATTCTAATCTGGGCTGTTCTGTTGGGATCTACTCTTCCGCTGAGTTGAGATCAGACACCATTTCCACGTACAGAGCTCGAGCACAGAGCAGCCCTGCCTGAAGCCTGCAGGCATTAATATCTCAATTGGCCAGGAGGGATTCCGTTTGGCTGACTGGCAGATGATTAGTCTCCCGTGTGGGTGCTCCCGCTTCAAATCAGCTTTTTTCTAAATCTGGTTCGTTAGTGTTCGATGGGTTCTTTGTCCATCTGACCCGTACATTCACTGCATCGCTACAACGGCTGGAATGTCTGACGGTTTAGGAGACAGAAAGAAATGTAGCGAGTCCTTTTTTGGAAGAAGCATTACGAGTGTAGATCAAGGATGAGCCTCGGAGGGGAAGTGCACTGAATTCTTAAAATGGACATATGCACAGGGTAGTTCAGAGCGAGAACATCACGACTTAGTGTTGCAGTTACAGTAATAAATGGAGTATGGGCAGACCAACAATAAAGACAAATAAATGGCTGTCACTGAAATCAATGGACAGTTTCCACGTGTCTGCATTATATAGAATGACATTTCTATGCAACTTCTTATCAATGGCAGCAAAACAAATGGATGAAAGAAAAACTGAGGTAATGCAGAAAAAAAACAAAGTCACTTGGTTTTTTTTTCCTTGTCATTTTCACACTTTTTTTTTAAGCATTAGTTTTGTTTTCTTGTGTTTCCTTTTACACTTGGGGGAAGTTGAACAACAACAAAAAGAAACTTTTTCCCATGCTGTGGTGTTTATAGTTTGTCGTTACTGGGACGACAGTGGTTTCTGTCAGACAGATGCTCCCAAGCTGCCTCCGGCTGAATGCTCGGTGTTCCAGCTTTACAAAATAACACGAATAATTCCTACATCTTCTGTACTGAGTAATCCAAGTTTGATTAATTTTTTTTATTATTATAACACAATGCTAAACCAGAGGGTCTGCTGTAATGTAGTGTTTAAAAACGCAAGTACCTTTATTTGTTTTAGTAATGCTGTGCTGTGGCATCATTCTGTGCAGGCCAACACTACAGGAGAAACGTAGAGGGAACCGTGTACTTGGTGTTGCATGTAAGTGTGTGTGTGTGTGTGTGTGTACAGGTCTGATTAGGTCTTATAGGGCAGTGGATATACTGTAAGTTCAGATACTTTTAAGGAGAAAAGGGTTTGTAGTGTGCAGGATCACACAGGAACAGCAGTCTCTCTCCTTCCAGGTCCCGTGTAGTGTTTCTAAAAACCGTCCGAAATTGTGTGTCCCCGTAGTTCAAAGTAGTGGGAGACACTGATGGCAGTTTTGTCAATGTTTCCATGTCAGCGACGGACAGAAGAGTACAGAAACAGAAACAGAGTTCGGGTTAATGATGTGGCAACTGACCTCTTGCCACAAAAACAAAAAAAAACAAAAAAAAAAAACACATGAGTCCGCCTGCAGAAAAACGGAGGGGAGCTGCTGCCAGACAAAGAACTTGAAAAAGGGATTTGGAGCGATGTGAAATTCCTTGGGTGTGATTTGTGGTTTTAGTAAGGAGCAAACCTACTGTATCCCGCCCGGTATAAACTGGCCTGAAAGAGACAGAAGGGACAATACAGTCACTGAGTGGAAAATATGAACAAATACAGCTATATATTATTGTTTTAAGTTCAACTACAAAATGTAGTTTAAACATACCCCGAATCCACAAATGATACATTTATTGACCCAAAACTGCAACTATATACCCGTATTTAATCTACTTTGTATTCCATTCTCCTCCCCATAGAGAGAAAGATAGAGAGAGACTACGGTGCATCTTAAAACTTCCCTTGGAAATAATACAACTAATTGATGATTGAGTGACACGCTGGTTGTTTTGTAGTGCTTGTGTCAGTTTTCTCACCATGGCTCCCACTCCGTAAGCAGCAGCAGCTGGGGTTAAAGCGTGGTAGGGATCTGTAGTGTACACCCGGCCATAACTAGCAACACAGACACAAAATTACTCATTTGAGTTAAAAAAAGACAATATTATTACAGGAGGTACCCTGTGGAGTTTCTGACCACTACTAGTGGACAAAGGCGAGGAAGAAAAACACTGCTAGCAAGTAAACATGGATGTAAACAACACAGGCTTCAAACTTTCAAAAACAATCAGCATTGCAAATTTTATGCAGGAAGCAAATGCATTCGACATGTTTGTTTGTCAGAGTCCACATTGAGCTGGTTACATTTGTAAAATAAACCTTTTTCTCTTTTTTTTTTAGCCCTCAGTCAAGACCTGATCAGCGTTTTCTTGCCCAACAACAGTCCTTTTCCAAAAAAGCTTTCAAAGTTTGCCAATCTTAAAATGCTCTGCGTGTCTGTGTGTACGGGGAAAACCAAACTCTTGCAAAGCGATGATGTAAGCTGCTTACAAAGGACTCTTTCTCTCTGATCATTCATTTTAAATGTCAATGTAGCCAATCGTGCAGCGCAGCTGTTGCCATTAACCTCATTTATGTTGATTTTGTAGATGTGATCGTGAAAAAATAATGATTTGGTCAGCTGAGCCGTCTGTCACACTCTTTACCAGATGTTAAATGCTGTTTGACAAATAGAGAGGGCGGAGAATAATAGATTAAGCCCAGTTTTACTTTCTGTACAATAACGACCTGGAAACATAAGCTCAGACACAAGTTGTTTACACATAAAAATGTTTAAGAATTAGACGGTGTAGTGTAGATGTGCACACAATGCCTTTGGGTGAACAACACTTAAAAACTCCACAGGGTACTTTTAAGCCAAGTTTGCACTTTGTTTTGTCACAATTCACTTCATTGTTTTGTAATTTGCACAAAATGCTGCTCCAGAAGGCACATTTGGAGAAGATACGGTTTTCAATTAGTTATCAGCGCTGATATGGTTTCATATATTCAATCATTAAGAATGCGCAATCATTTAATCACATTAATTTGGTTCCCTGACGTCCATGTTGCCATTCAGGTATTCCACTGCATCTCATCTTTTCCTGAGATACAAGATTACATTTTCATGTTCAAAGACTTGCTGGCTTTCACTATTATCTTATCCACTTGTATCCATTGATCAGTGGTGTGTTAGTGAACATAAATGTCCTTATATATGTATTCACTATGTCTTTAGATTGTCCTCAACCAATCAGTTCTTCTAAAGAAAGCCACTGCCTCCAATCTGTACTGACACTGGCTTCTGACACTACAATCCATCCTTACAGTGTGCATCGCAGCCGTTCTGCCGTACAGTGAGGTGTGTGTGTGTGTGTGTGTGCTTGTTCATTAATGTCCCGGGTTGACCTCACCTGTCACTGTAGGCGGCAGCTGCGGCGGTTGCTCCGGTTACGGCTGCGGGCTGGGCGTAGCGATAGGCAGCGGCGGCAGCAGCAGCAGCAGGGTAGCCTCCCTAGAGACACACACACACAGACACAACAGAACTTACTCATATGCCCTTGAGGATGTAGACACCTGTGCTAAGGTGTGTAAATGACTGGTGGTAGGGGCGGGGCGCCATATGGAGATGGAATATACTGACATTGAGAAACACTTATATATGCAAATATGTATGACTACCTTACAATATATGTCCTGTTTGCTCATTTTTAAATAAATCCTATAAATGATTACTGTATATTTTTTCTGTATGTAATATTTGATGCACAGTTCGAAGGTAAAATTTGACAATATAGCGTATAAATGATAGAAATATTTTTTAAAATTTATGTATTTCATTGTATTCAGTAAAAAAAAAGATATATATATATATTCACAAATGAAATAGGGTATGTGTCAGTATATTGCATTTCTGTATGGGGAAAGGAGAAGGTGGATGTTGGACGTGGGACCAGAGTGTTTTATCAGTGAGACAGAGAAAGGAAATTGGACTGTCGAGGTTGAGTTAGATTGTATTATTAACACTACGGGAGAGGGAGAGGTAAAAACAGTGGGAGACAAAATGTTCACACAGTTGAGGTCTTATAGAAACCTCATTGTCTCGTCAGGACAGAAATTCAAGTAATGAACAGATACAACGAGGGAGCACCTACAGTTATAGTACACTAAAGGTTACTAGAGTCAGAAGTTCTAGTAGAGACATATTTAGGACAAAAACGGCATTTGTTATTATTATTATTACTATTATTATTATTTGTGTTCTTTCACATGGATTCAGGAGACAGAAAAAAGAGAGGAAGATGGGAAAAAAAAGTCACACACACAAACACACCCACACAAGCCTATACTGACTAAAAATCATCTCCTCGCACTGAGACTGCATGCATGAACCCCAATTAAAAGCTCAACACAACACCACTGCATTTGGACCTGATCAGAACAGAGCACAGCAAAGCACAACAGAAACACCCCCAGCATTCTCTGAGACGGCTGCAGGACACGCAGCAAAGAGGGAGGGGGGGATTATTAGGGGGAGAGAGCAAGGCCTTCTAGGTGGGTGGAGGGAAAGGAGCAGTAATACAGTATGTCTGCATGCAGCAGCGGATCAGCACATGCTTGATAATCATCCTGGGAAGGGTCGGGGGTGGTTAATTCAGGAAGAGACCGTGTTCTCCGTTTCAACTTGCAGGAGTATTTTACATCCCAGGCTAACATTGACTGGGCGATTGCTGCAAAATGATAGATCGTTAACCATCATGGTTGCATCCAATTTGAAAATATCTGCTGACAATTTGTATTTTTCTTTTTTTATGTTTGTGACACGTAGGTGTATTTTCTCATTTTGTGCCTACAAGAGAACAAAATAAGGATGGGGGCCATTTCTTTTTTTACCTCCAAAACTAGCCGAGCAGACAAAAGAGACCAGGTTCTCTTTTGAACAAAGTGGTGAGAAAAAATATGCACTCAGTACAATTTAGTAGTTTAGTAAACAAACAAACAAAGCCCTTCCCCACAATCTAAAAAAGTGCACATTTCAGTGAGTTAGTAGAAAAATAAAGAAAAATTCAAAGCAGTGGAGATTTTTTTTTTTTTTTAAAACAACTAAAAGAAAACATGTTCCAGATCAGATCAGAAGATGATTCATAAGATCAGAGGAGGTAGTACAGTAAAACAATGCACACTGTGGGTTTGGTGTTGAGTTGACCCTACCTGAGGCAATCTGGGACTAAGGACTGAGTCCTGAAACACTAGTCTATAGAGAGAACAGAAACAACCGTTGTCAACCTGGATACACACACACACACACACACTCTTGTTTAAACGCACACACACACACACACATTCGCACACTGACGCACGCTACCGCATCCGCCCACAGAGCAGCCTTTATAGTGGTGTCACTAAGATTTCGCAGCTCTCTATTTTTTTTTATCAGTATAACTTATTTTGACCCAAACTGTATAATGAGGGACGTTTTCTGTCACAACAATAGAATAATCCCAAGGCAAAAAAAAAACCCAACAGCTTTTATCACGGGTGATCTTGTGTTCATTTGTTACTAGAGGTGGTGCGTTGTGTTTCTAAACAGTTCTTCACTGTGGGCTCATTCACCTTTATGCAGGCAGCTCTGTGCAGCGCATGACTGGACGCAACATGCAGAATCACCCCCAGAGAGGAAAGAGCAGGAGAAAGCCGTGAGGGGAGGGACAGAGAGGGTGTGTTGGGTGGGAGGTGAGTTTACTTACATACAAGTCTGCGGCTCCGTAAAACCCATCCTGATACACCACGCTGAGAGAAGAACGAGGGGGAGAAAGACGGAGGGGGGTCGGGGGAGAGAGAAGAGTAGAAGGATGTAGTGGAGTGGGGGGGAGGAGGGTGCAAATGGGGTGGTGCACAGTCCCAAAACCAGAGTGGATGAACGTCACAACACAGCAAAAATACAAAAAGAGGGAAGAGAGAGAAAGAAAGAGAGATGGAGAGAGAGAAAGAAAAAGTAGTTATTTCACACCCATGCAGCATGCAGAGGAAATACAACTTCCATTTAAGCTCCACAACTGAAACCAAAAACATTAAACAATAGACTCTTGGGGCTCATAGATAAAGTTCATTGAACTGAAATGAGACCATAAACTGCTATTGTTCCCCAGCTACAAGAACAGCAAGGCAGTAAAGGTTACTTTGAGTGGATAATTTTATGTGGAGAGGTGTCGGCTTTTCAGTGGAGCAGATATGGAGAGGATATTTCCTGCAGCCCCCAATTTCATCTTCTTTAGCTTAATTTGAACGTCATCACAGTAAGCAGCCACAGGGCCATTAACCAATCAATTCTGCTTTGATCTCAATATCATAGCAGTCACAACCCCATTAGCCAATCATCACAGCACAGCAACGACATGCACAGTAAACACATACTGAGGGGACATAAAACACATTCACAGTAAACGTGAATAATTTGTAGCAAATCTGTGTGCAGGTTATCTGCTTCTGCATAATGACTGTGTGTGTGTGTGTTTATTCAAATCTGCTGATGGTGGTATCTGTGTGTTTATTCAAATGAACCTTCAAATGGTGCAATCCCATCAGTGCGTCATACTCGGCTGACTAGCTTGTGAACTGACTGACAATGTGCCAGTTGGATGCTGAAGAGAGTGAAGTGTGAATAATGTTTGAGCACGAGGACTGTATGAGCACAGCTGCGTTAAACAGAAACCTGGTCAAACAGAATTTGGAAAATGGCATGCATGAGGTGTCCCTCAATAGATTTACTAGGCACTGAACAAAACTATTGATCTTGATCTTTTTGTATCTCTAAACTGTGTTATATAAAACACATACAGGAGATCTGGGACAGCTACAAAGCACAGGGAGTCAACAGTTCTCGTTTATCTTTCTCACCCAGGATAGGCAGGGATGGCAGGCTGAGGAACCGCAGCCCTCACCGCACTGTAGACGGGTCGGCCTCGGCCCCTGAGGTGGGCGCCGCGGAACGCTGCTGCTGCCGCTGTGGTGGCTGCTGCTGCAGAAGGGTAGGGAAACCCTGGGACTAAAGGAGGGGGAAGAGGAGGAGGAGAGAAAGCAGAGGATTTAGGGAGGAAAGAAAACGATGCAGGAAGGAAAAGGACAAAGCAAATGAAGAAAATAGGGGCGAGGCCCAGAATGAATTAAAGAGAAAAGAAAGAGCAAAGAGAGAGGGGGAATAATCCAACTGTAGCCTTGAGGCCTTGATATTAATACAAGTGTCAGTGAGGAGAAATGCTAGGCAAGCAGTGCATTAATATAAATTAAAGATTGGAATGTGACTAAAATTTAAAGTAGGCTGTAGAGACAGGTGTTAGTGTGGGTAAGGGAGCTAGAGAGTGGCTTTACCTGCGTAGAGCTCCGGTCCATACATGGCCCCCACCATAGGACTCAATTTCCACCCCGCTGATAGTCACACAGAGAAGAAGGGGAGTTCATTAATATGTACACAGAACATATCATACTACGTGCCTGCTGCACTTGAACATACATGCTGTTACATACAGAAACATTTTATACACAATTTCACAGCTATTCACCTTTATTGTTGGCATTTATGGTTCACTAGGTGCTTTAGAGGAGTTTTATCAATTAAAAGTATAGTCAAGCACCACAGAGCAGCTATTCTTTAAAACTGATTGCAATGGCTAACACAATGCTGCCTAGTTTTCATGAGACAGATTCCCTCTGAAAGACTTAAGGGCCATCCACACCAAGAACAAAAACTATACATGTATCTTTTTTTTAAAAATAGCTCACACATGAGTCCACATGAGAGCAATAATGAGAACGACAGTGGTGAAAGATATTGTTGTGCTCAGAGCAATTTGATGAAAGATATTGTGGTACACAACTTATTAATTGCTTATAAAAAATAATTTAAGGCTGCTAATTACACAAAAACATCTAAGACGCTGATTTTCCTAACTCCTCTCGTCTTTGAAGAACTTTGTGAACCCCTATCCTTCTGGTTATCTTTTTGTTTCTCCACGCAGCGTACAGCACTAACAGCTCATCAATATACATTTTCCTAAGCTGCCGACACAGCTGGAGCGCACAGCGTGTTGGGGCCACTGTTTATACAACGTTAAGTCCATCAGTGTGGATGCTCACATCGTTATCTTTATATTCATTGTAATAATTATTGTGCTTGGTGTGGCCCTTAGCTCAGAAAACTACACTGGAAGTTAGACGAATGAATAATGGAAAAGAAAGAACTGCTGAGAGCTCTTGCCATGTTAATCAACTGAATGTGTTACACTAGCACTGCATGGTGAAGCAGCACAGACACTGCACAGAGTCAGCTCTGACTGCACTTTTTATTGGGGGCCTGTGTGTTGTCCAGCAAAAAGACGATACAAGGTGGTGATAGATGAATAGTAGGGATCCCGGATGGCTGTGGCAGCACATAAACATTTATAGTAAAACACAGCTGTCATAATATGAAAGCTTTCTCTTCTGCGGTCTGTGTAGTTGATCTGGAGAACGTAAGCTCAGCTTTGAAGTCAACTGACATCATGGCTGGTAGGTGGTAGCAAAAATAAAACTAAGATCAGCGGCATTATATTGGTTTGCTGTTGTCCTCCTACAAGAGGGAAGAGTGCGGCTGCATTGTGTATTTTACCCTGACTACGTCTGCCTCGCCCTGTGTACCTGTGCTGTTTGGCTTATTAGACGGGCCACGGTTCATTGTTAGTGTGTGTCAGTGTGGTTGTTACCATAAGGCAGCGTGCTGAGAGCCTCTCCGTTAGGGTAGGGGCTGACCATTTTCTTGTTAGTCATCACCCTGGCGGTGGCGTTATTCACCTGAGGACGAAGGAGCACACGGTCAACGACACAGACACAACAACTCACCAGAGGAAACTAGAACAGCACAGACTCAAACCCAGAGTAGATTACATTCAATAGGTCTGCTGTTATGTGCTGGTATTATGTTTGCCTCCATTTTTATGCATCATGGTGCATCTCTGAGGTTGACAATGTTATTATCTGTGTATATTTATTTCTACTAGGTCATTAAAAGTGAATACTAGCGTTATTTGGACTACATAATTATTAGCCTGTTACATAACCTTGTTTTCATAGTGAAAATGCATGCCATTTTACATGCATGTAAAAGCTGGTGTAAAATTGGCTTAAAAGTTGGCACAAATGATAGCATTGACATGACAATGCAGAGACATGTTCTCCAGGGATTATTTTCTGGTAAAGATTTCAGTTTCTTTCTGTTAGTGTCATGTGTAAAATATTGCACACACACTTATATAATAAATCTTCTTCTATAGAATGGAAAAAAGTGGCTAAAATGTAAAGGTCGCTGGTGTTTACCAGTGTGTTCAATGTGGAAGAAGCTTGTGACATGGATGCCCTCTTTCAGTGGTTTATGCTGGTGTTCATGTCTATGTTTGTATGTAAAAGCAAGTGGGGACTGTTAGGGGGGGGTTTAGTCATCATGCAAATAAAAGCAAGCTGCCCAGTAGACATTTGGTGATTCATTGTGGAGGGATATAAGGGCTGCCACGGTTTACATTGTTGCTGTTGTGACTACACATAAGGGGGGAGGGACACAGCAAAAGAAGCTGAGCTGTGTTTTTTTTTTTTATTTTGACATGCTGAAGTATTGTAGATTGTTTTGAGGTGTGTGTGCATGTTCTGTGCATGCTGGCTGACATTTCAGTCTAATGCTTAGGCTTTCAATCCAAGATGGCTGATAATCTCCTCCCTGAGCTTCAAAGGCTCTCACTCCGGTCCCTTGATCTATCCTCGTCTTCCTTTGATGGGCTTTAAGTGAAGGAGATTGCGGCTCTCTGTTAAAACCCGTACTGTCCAAGTTTTTTGCCGCTGACGCTCTACATCTGACTAGTGTGGCGAGCTAAAGATTAATGACCTTTTGGCTAGATGAGGGGAGAGTGTGTGCGTGTGTGAGACAAAGATGGAGAGACAGAGGAATGAGAGTGCTTGTGTGCGCATACACGCTTGCACTCTCATTTAGAAGACCATTAGGGCCTCGGCTGCCACTCGCATTGCCTCTCTCAGTGAGTCATGTTCTTTATCTGCTGAGCTTCATTCAAATGGAAATGAGGTTTACCTCATTTTTCCCTCATTGCAAATGACAAGGTCAGTGGCAAATGATTCAATTAGCCTAGCCTGGCTAGCAATCTGACGCAAGTGTCTGCGGGTGTCTGAGTGGAGACATTCTGAAATGTAAATCGAGTTAATGAATCAAATTAGTGTCAACATTTTTTTGCATCAAAGGGAAATTTTGTCCCGACTTGTAAGACGTTTGATGTTCCCTAGTAACAGTTAATGATAATCAAGAGGTAAGACTAATGGTGTGTGTGTTTGTGTGTGTGTACAGTAAGTATACCTGTGTTTGTGACAAGTGTAATCAATGAAATTGGGTTGACAGGAACACATGCAAATCAACAGAATATGGAAGGCAAATCTCAAAGTGTTAACGATTGAAAAACATTCAGCCTCTCATCCCACTTTTGCCCTCCCAGTTGAGCCTGGACAATAAACCCGGACAAAATGAAATCACATTTCCATATGAAACCAAACTTGTGGGGTTTACATACCTAAAAAGAAATATTCAAAATAAAAAATACAAGGGAGAGAAAGAGGGGGTGCAAAAACATTTGTTTGACAAAATTAATAATCATATAACACAGAAATTACACGCAGCCAAATATGGGCGCATCACATGACCAAGAGTGAGTAACAAACCAAAAAAAGTAAAAATTCAGCCAATCAGCAAGCGTCGGATGCAGCATAGAGACCAATCAAAACAATCGCAGCACTCCCACATCGAACACATACGAGACAAAGATGGGACAGATAAGTTAAGAGGAAGGGATGCAGGTGAGAAGTAAAGAGACAGAGCCAGTCCATATACAAAAACAGGATAACGTAAAAATGGAGTGAAGAGAAAGAGAAAAAAGGGAGAAAGTTTACATGAGCAACACAAAAAAATAAAAATAAATTACAATTACTGTTTAAAAATAAAACATATATCCCAAGGTGCATCATTCAAATAAAGCAATTAGATTTGGTGACCATTCTCCTGAAAATCTCATTATATGTGGTGGGTTGAGAAACAGAGCACCAAAGGATGGAAGGAACAGAGAGAGAGAGGGAGAGAGAGGGAGAGAGTGTGTGAAAGAGGAGGAGAGAGGGAGAG